CGGTCGGGCCGACCGGACGCTCCGGTCGTGTTGACCGGACGCTGGACCTCAGCGTCCGGTCGCCCGCAGATGGCCACGTGTCCCGATTCCAACGGTCACTTGACTTAACCGGACGCAGCAGCTTTAACTGACCGGACGCTGAACCCCCAGCGTCCGGTCGTTTCCAGTAAGGTACCGACCTCGACCGGACGCAGCCTGCCAGCGTCCGGTGCATTCAGATCTAGCGTCTGATTAGTTGACCGATGCCAGCATCTTCGCGACTAACTCGTTTTCACTTTTAACTTCATCACCCTTGCTCCAATGTGCTAACCATAAGAACTTGCATCCGGCGCAATAGAAAATAGGCATTCTATTTTCCCGAAAGCGCCGAATCCCGCCTCGCAAGCTCGGCGGGAGGGAGAGAGGGACCCAAACCCATCTCACCCCTGCAAACACCACCTCCTTTGTAAATGTGCCAACACCACCAAGTGTACACCACCATATGTATGTGTGTTAGCATTTTTACAATCATTTCCCAAAGGATGTTAGCTACTCAACTTGCCACGCCACTCGATCCTAGCGACAATGCAAAGTTAGATCACTCGAGTGGCACTAGATGACCGATATGCAAACAAGTTTGCCCCTCTTGATAGTACGGCCATCTATCCTAAACCCGGTCATAAACTTCTCTACACACCTATGACCGGTAAAATGAAATGCCCTATGTTATACCTTTGCCTTACGCATTCCATTGCTTCTCCTCCAATGTTGATGCAACACATGCACCAACACGATCAACAATGATATGTTCTACTTCATATCATCACGTGATCATATTGGTTCATCGATCTTGACTTCACTTGTTTTTCACTGTTGCCATCGTCCATCGACGCCAAGTCTTGCTCAAGCTTCACCGCCACGCGGTCCATCACTCCAAAGCCTTCGACTTGCCCTTCACGCTTGCAACCGGTCCATCAAGCCAAGTCTTGTCTTGATCTTCTCCACCTTGATCACATGACTCAATGTCATGTCTCATGTGTATTTAAGCTCCTTCATCATCACATGTGTGAGCTTTGCAACATCTCCAAGCCATTTTCACCTTCATGGCATATGTTGCTCACACACATGTACCTATGGACTAATTACATATGTATCTCACATAAACACAATTAGTCCACCTAGGCTGTCACTCAATTACCAAAACCAACAAGGACCTTTCATCTGGGAGCTTACTAGAAGTGACTGAACGCTGGAGTCCTGCATCCGGTCGTGATCAAACTGATGCGTCCGGTCGTGGATGGAACCACTCTGGAAACGACCAAACTTGGCAGAGGTGCGTACGGTCATGGCACTATGCTGCGTCCGGTCATCTCTTGACCGTTGAGATCAAACGACTGAGGTTGAACGGAAGCGACATGTGGTGTACATCCATTGACCGGACGCTGGTAGGGTGCGTCCAGTCGATCTGACCGGAGCGTCCGATCACCTGAGCTGTGCCTAGTGAAGGGGTACAACGACTCTATTTTTATGGGGACTATAAATAGAAGGGGTCCCTACCTTGGGTTGGTTGCTGAGCAACTTAGGGAACTTTGTGTCAATGCTTGAGAGTGCTTGGGAGTCCTCCATCTCATATATGCTTAATAGTGATCATTCGATTGTGTGAGAGAGCGATTCTAGTGCGATTGCATCGTGAGGTTGCATCGAGTGGCACTAGGTGATCATCTTGCAAGCTGATGGTGCTTGTTACTCTTGGAGGTTGCCACCTCCTAGATGCTTGGTGGTGGTCTCCGTCGAAGCCTATAGAAGCTTGTGCGGTGATTCGGAGAAGAGCTTTATGAGGGGCATTGTGCTAGCCCTGACGTGCGGGGTTGACGGGTGATGCCAATTAGCCGTCGAACCACCAAGTAAGTGATCGACACAACGGGAACTAATATGTTGGCAAGCATGTGAACCTCGGGAGAAAAATCACCATGTCAACTTTGTTCTTCCCGTTGCTTTGCAATCTCCTTTCATAAGCTTATAATTACTTTTATATACATTGTGCTTGTGTAGTTGCTCTTGTAATTAGTTAGCTTGTGTAGCTCACTAGTTACATTCTTGCTTGTGTAGCATAAGAAGTAGCTCCCTTGCGTGGCTAATTTGGTTTGTGTAACCTTGTTAGTCATATTGTTTAGTTTGTGTAGCTAAGTATTTGTGCTCTCTAATTTGGCATTGGTTGCCTTATTATTAAGCATTGCTAGTGAGCTTAGGAGCTTTGCGCTTTTGCTTACTAGCATGTGTAGGAGCTCTCTCGTTGCTTAAAGTACTAGTGTCATAGATTTGTGTGACATTGCTTCTAGAATTGGTTATGTGAGATCTAGCTAGCCCGGCACCTTAATTGCTTAATTAGGATCTTTGCAAGGTGCTAGAGAACATAGATAGAGGGATGTAGTCTTGGCTAGACCGATAGATTTAGTTCCGCACTTGTTTCGATTAGCCGACGCGATTAAGTTTTAGAAACAACAATTCACCCCCTCTAGTCGCCATCTCGACCTTACAGCGTCTGCTGCTCATTTGCATCCTCACGACTGGCGCCGTCGCTCCTTAGCACAGTGGAGCCGTTGGCCTCAGCTCCTCCGCGCTCGCACAATCACCGCTGCTCTGCGCCTGCGCGGCGGGATGAGGTGTGTTCATCCGGTTTCTTCATTTTGGAGGAATGGAGCCGCACCACATCTACACAGAATATTTCCTTTTCTAGGATAGACCCAACCACCGGTTCCCGAACCAAACACCCAAGAAAATAGGTCGAACCCACCCCAACCCACTTCGACCCCAACCAAACACACGCTAAGATCCTAGAAGATTCTAAGTTCTAACACACAAATACATAATCAAAAACATCAAACATTATTTTTTATCTGAAATCCAAACGGGACACCTAGGGCCATGTTGAATACCTCCGGTTTTTACTAGTTTTTAAGAATCTGGTTTTGAATACTAGGTGAGATTCAATATGCCAGTTTTTTCTACTAGTTTTTATCAGATTCTTAAAAACTGGGAAACTGTTAATATCTAGCTTTTGCTAGCCTTGTGACCCATAGAACAATAAATGAAGTCAGATTCTTAAAAACTAGAGGATCCAAACACCCCACCAGTTTTGCTCAGAACATAGATTTTAGAAACTAAAAGTAAAAATTGATTTTTAAAAATCTGAAACTAATCAAACAAGACTTTTGATTAGGGGGTGTTTGGATCCAATGACTAAAATTTAGGAGGTGTCACATGAGGGTGTTGTATGGGGTGTTCGGATACTAATAAAAAAATAAATTACAGAATTTGTCAGTACTCCACGAGACGAATTTATTAAACCTAATTAATCTGTCATTACCACACGTTTACTGTAGCACCATATTGTCAAATCATAAACTATTTAGACTTAAAAATTCATCTTACAAAGTAGTCGTAAACTGTACAATTAATTTCATAATTAATCTATATTTAATATTCTATGCATATAGCAAATATTCTAAGGGACCGCCAATAAAATTTGTCACTGAGGGTCTGTTTGGAACGCAAGAATTTCATAAGAATCACATAAAAATTTCACAGAAATCAATTCAATTTTATAGAAAAAATACAGAAATAGAAAAAAAAAACTGCATTCCAAAGAGGCCCTGACTTCTTTCTCGAGCACATACCAGAATCCCCTACAGACCCTTCTGCGGTTTTTCTTTTTTGACTGGATGCAGGCGGCCCCCAAGGATCGATGCATCTGGTCCTGTGCCTGTCCGGCTGTGCCCCCTCTCGCTGTCAGAAAGATCCAGCTGGAGCGCTGGAGCAGCGGGAGTCACGCCCGGGGCACAACAGTAATCCAGGAGTGATAAGATCAACCGGACAAGCGAGGGGGGCCGTAGTGGTTTCCACCTCTGCCACAAGAGATTTTTTCTGCGTGCCATTATAAAAGATGGTAATTCCTTGTGTATCTTTAGAAAAATTTAGCGGTTTTCAGTGTCACTACTTCAACTTTTTCAGATCCTCTATGCCACTTCCGTCAGTTCAGGCTCTAACGCCGTCAAACTGCAGGTATGAAAAGACGAAAATGCCCTTAAGTTCAAATATGTTATTAATTTTTTTGAGCATCTTAACGACTTCAAATGAAAAAACTCAAAACTAGAAAGTTGTAGATCTCGTCGAGATCGATAATTTTCATATAAAATTTATTTTCATTTAATTTCGCAAAAAAAATATGATTAAATGAAAATAAATTTTATATGAAAATTATCGATCTCGACGAGATCTACAACTTTCTAGTTTTGAGTTTTTTCATTTGAAGTCGTTAAGATGCTCAAAAAAATTAATAACATATTTGAACTTAAAGATATTTTTGTCTTTTCACACCTACGGTTTGACGGCGTTAGAGCATGAAGTGACATGGAGGACCCGAAAAAGTTAGAATAGTGACACTGAAAACCACTGAATTTTTTTTAGAGGCACACAAATGATTACGATCTTTTATAACGGCACACAGAAAAACAAAAAAAATCTCCTGCCATAAATATAGACCGCCCTTTCCCGCCCTTAAGCACCTTGCCAAACCCTCTTTAAACCCTCGCGTCACTCAAAATTTCTGGCGTTGTTGGCTTCTCGCCGCGATCTGTCCGGGGCAGCCTCGACGGAGGACCCTCGAGCCCGATTTCATAGGTTTCATCTCCGATTTTGAGGTTTTGGGTGGTGGGGATTCTTGGGCTCCCTTTGCTTTTGTTTGACCGGCTCTGACTTGGGAGTGTGTGCTGCTGTCGTTAGCTCACTGGGAGCAGTGGCAGATCTGCTGTTGTTAACCACTACAAAGCCTCCGAATCTATTCGTTTTCGAAAGGTTCAAGCTGGTCTCCTGCAAGTTTTGCTTTTTGGAGCGCGATTTTGGTTCTAGGTTGCTCGATTTGAGCGAGGCTTTTGGGGATTTCTTGGAGTTGGAGGTTCTTGGTGGATGAGATTTGAGGCGGAGGCTTGGCAGTAGCTGCGGTGGATCTGCGGCCTAAGGCGATGTCTTCTGTCGACTCCCTCACCTCCGTCCGGAGCCGCCGCGCGGGGCCGCCCTTGCCCCGCCCGAAGCGTGTCCGCGTCTACTTCGTGGACGCCGACGCCACGGACACCGACGACTCCTCCGGCGACGAGGACGAGCGCGCCAAGCGGCGCGTGCGGGAGGTCATCCACATCGACGTCGAGGCCGCCTCAGCTCCGACGCGGGCGGCGCAGGCGCAGGCGCTGGTGCTCCCGAAGAACCGGCCGCTGCCGTCCCAGGCGGCGCTCGTGCGGCGCCGGGCCTCGGGGGCCGGGTTCCGGCGGCGTTTCCCCGGCGTGCGGCTCCGGCCGTGGGGCAAGTTCGCGGCGGAGATCCGCGACCCGCGCCAGCGGAGGCGGCTGTGGCTCGGCACCTTCGACACCGCCGAGGAGGCCGCCGCGGCCTACGACGACGCCGCTCTCCGCCTCAAGGGCTCCCACGTCGTCACCAAGTTCCCCGCCGAGGCGCCTTCTTCCCCCTGGTCGCGCATGAGGCTCCGTCCTCGCCGGGAGACCCCCCTGGAAACGGTGGAGGGTGCCGGAGAAGAAGACGGAGAGGCTCTCGCCTCGGCCCCGGCCCCGGCCCCAGCGGCGGCGCCCGCGTCGCTGGATCCGCAGGCGGTGGACGGCACCGCCCTGGTCTGCCCGTTCGCGTCGCCGACCTCCGTTCTCCGCTACGCCGCTGACGAGGTGCCGGCCGCACCCGCCCTGCCGGCGTTCGAGTTCCTCTACTCTGGGTTTGGTGAGCTTGGCGACCTAGGCGCGGCGACGGCGCCATCGAAGGCGGCGGCGGCGGTGGAGTTCGACTGCCTGCCGTGGTGGGAGGGCGAGGACTTCGTGACGGCGACAGGCCTCACGGCGTCAGCCGGCGCTGCCGTCAGCGTGATATGACGGCGTCACCTTTTGCACCCCTCCGGGCTCGGGCCTCGGCCTGCCGTGGCGCCGTTTCGGGCTCTCGGGGCGGGAAGTGGCGGGAGACGCGCCGTTTTGGGCGCTCTGGGCGGGAACTGGCGGGAGACGCGTGGGCCGTGGGCGGCCGTGCAGCGGGCCAGCAGCATCGAAGTATAAAAAATTATTATTTTATTTATTATTAATTGCTGCTGCTAGAGCAGTGGCCAGTGGGCTGTGGAGCAGTGACTAGTGAGTGGTTGCTTGTGGCGGCAAGTCCATGGCGTAGGCGTGGCGGGCCCCACGGGCTCTGCTTTCTCTGCGCGGGTGCCTTGAACCGCACGCATCCCGCGTGGAAACGCAGCAGTGCTCTGTTTTTTGGAGTGGGAGTGTGACCTATGACTGTGAGTGTCTGATTGTAATTGCTGGTCTTCGTCGTGAACTGTAATTGTTGGTCGTAAGCTAGCCATTGGTGGCCTTTGATGCATGCCCAAAACGTTGAATGTCGTCGTCGTCGTGAACTGTAATGTCGTCGTGAACTAAAATACTACTCCCTTTTTAACTATAGATCTTACTTCCAGAAAAATCAAACTACTTATATAATACATACTACATATTTTCTATAAATGTTAGATATCACTTAATCTCTTTTCGCAATAAACTTATATAGAGATATCACTTAATCTCTTTTCGCAATAACGCATGGCCCTGTTCGTTTCGTTAAAATTTAGCTTATGCTGATTTGTTGCGAGAGAAAAATATTATTTGTTCGCTGAAAAGTATAGCTGAAGTAGTTAAATTTTAAAAGTTTGATAAACCCGAATATCACTTAAAAAAGAGGGAGCAGAAATGTACCGAGTGGCAACATTCATGTAAATCTCACATCGAATCAGTTTCCAAATGCAGAATATATTATCGAAAATATCTATCATTTGTGCAACGCAATTAGTGAAGCATAAAAAAAACGTGACTATTTCTTAACAAATAGCCTGTGAGAAATAAAACCATTTGTCCATTCTAATCACAGAAAACTATGATGCGTGTGAACATAGTTTCATATTGGCAAACCATGATGCGTGTGATTGCAAAAATATTTTGGTCCTGTTCGCTTGTTTTATAATCCGTACTTTTCAGCTTATTTTTTTAGTTAAAATAATAATTTTCTCTTAAAAAAATTAGCCGAAACAGTATTTCGGCTTATTTTTTTAGCGAAGCGAATGGGGCTTTATCTTTCAGACACTCCATTTTGATTATGAGATAATACTACTAGTGTAGCATAAAAAAAACGTCATGTATTTGCACAGAAATAGCCTTGTAATGTGACCTAAATCAGTAGGTAACACCGCGTCAGAAGTAAGAACCGGAACCAAATTATTTTACTTGGTTAATATCCTGTTTGGTTGCTTGGTTCTTATCTAGCCAGGCTCTCCAAATACAACTTAGAAGTTAGAAGGGTTTGGTTGTTCGCGTTAGAGTCAGTACCTGACTCTCTAGACACAAAAGGCGGTCCGGAGCTTGGCTCCTGAGTAACGGATTTCATTCACATTTTTGGTGTGCTTAACTCACATGATGCAGCGCAGAGTGTCATAATGATGCTCTCAATATATGGTTAATATATATTAAGTGATACTAGTGTATTTTAAAGTAGATTAAGATATTAAAGTAAAATATGGACTATAGAGTGCAGTTACACAAGTTTTTTTTTTGGAACGTGCAGTTACACAAGTTAAATATTATAAGATCTCTTGTTTTTTATTTTATTTTATATAATACGATTTCACGTAGACAACCAAACATCATCTTTTCTCAGCGAGACTATATACATGCAGACAACCAAATAAAAACAGCTTGCATCTCTGCAGCCAGCGAGGGCCTAGTTCACATATGAGGGCTTGTTTAGTTGGAGAAATTTGAATTTTGGGGCTACTGTAGCACGTTCGTTTTTATTTGGCAAATAGTGTTCAAACATGGACTAATTAGGCTCAAAACGTTCGTCTCGTAATTTCCCACCAAACTGTGCAATTAGTTTTTCTTTTCGTCTACATTTAATGATCCATGCACGGGCCACAAACATTCGATGTGACAGGTACTATAGCAACTTTTTGAAAGTTGGGGTGAAACTAAACAAGGGCTGAGAGTCAGGCTCCCCTCATCAACAAACCAAACACGCTATAAATGTCTCGAGATAGCTGTTGGAGCTCTACGGTGTGGAAGCTCCGGTGCTCACTAGAGCTACCTAGTTGGGTATGTTCTTCGTGCAGTTAGTTGGTAACAGCTAGTTCTTGAGAGGCGCTTATAAATTGAGGTTGTGGCCGAGCCTTTTAGCTTTCTTGGCATTCCATTCAAATATCCACACCTATTAGAGCTTAAGAACACACTCCACTCACATAATCACTTGTGATCACAAATTTGTGAGTTGGGAGTGATCTCGTGCATTTGCTTTGAGAGTTAGCATCAAGTGGTACTAGAGGATTGTTGTTGTTGTTGTGGATTTCTTGTTACTTTTGGTCGTTGCCGCCATCTAGATAGCTCGGAGGTAACGAGGTTTGTTGAGCACCGCTTGGTGATTGCGTGGGGGCTCTAGACGGTGGATTTATGAGGGACTTAATGCTCATCCTTGCGAGAGATTGTAAAGAGCATCTCTAGTGGAATCGAGGCTTGTCGGAGTCGATCGGCTCATAAACAAGCGCCCATGTTAGGGCCAAGATTGAGGGCTTGCTAGGTTTGTGGAGGAGCAGCAATCCTTGGACTCGCCTCAACGAGGACGTAAGTTGCCGGCAAGCAACCAAACATCGGGTGAAATCATTGTATCATTATTATCTCCTTTGTGGTTTGCGCTATACTACTCAATTACTTGTTCATCTTGATTGCTTGTGTAGTTGCTTCCTAGAGTAGCTCAATTACTCGTGTAGCTTAATTTGTGTAGGTTGTGTGCTCTAGTGATTAGCTTGTTGTTTACGTCATTCACTAGAATTGTGCAGGAGCTTGCTTGGGTGACTTGCTAATTGCTTAGCCTTGCTCCTAGATTATTTAGGAGGTGCACTTGTTATACTAGGTTTGAGTTGTGCTTATTAAGGTCTCCTGATTGTCTAACAAGGTTGTTAAGTGATGTGCCTTCTAAAGTTTTAAATAGCATATTCACCTCCATCTAGTTATCCTACCATCTTTTTAGTTGTCAAAGACCTTGTATCAAGAAAAGAAAGAAAGAAAATAAAAAACAACTTGTCTCAGAGTCAGCATAGAGCACTTAGTAACGTATGGATATGTTTCATGTATGAACACATTACTGTATAATATTATGCACTTACGTAGTTGTCGTGGGCTAGCAAAAATCTTTATACAACGCTCGTACGCTGCATGCATGGCTTCCTCCTGTCCGCCTTCTTCCTCCCTACGATTAGGGTTAGAATTTTTGGGGTTCCATGGGGGATCTCTATTTTTTTTCAATTTTTTGATAAAGGAAGCTATTATTAAATTCTCAAAGCCTTGAAAATGTACTTCTGGGCTTTGCCTAACAAAGAGGGACATGACCAAGGAGGATCTCTATGTCTGACGGTCTTAGAAGGGGGACGAGCCCTATTGCGGTGGCTAGCTCGGTGGTGGAGGTAGTCTAACAGACGGGAGTGATCAACCATAGCGTTAGGGAAGGGCGTCGATGGGATGACGACAATGAGGTCGCTAGCCGCTAGGACGACGATTAAGGTGGCGGTGGCGGGGTAGCACGGTAAAAGAGAGGATGGAGGTTAGGAAAAGACGGTGCTATGATGTCGTCGGCGGTAGGTGGATCACTAGTGGCCTATACGACGGTGGAGGCTGGTGGCGACGGGGCAAGATAGGATGTGGAAGGAGCGGGTCTGTTTGTTTCGCTGAAATTTGACTTATGTTTATGTTTATGTTTATGTTGATTTGTTGTGAGAGAAAAATATTATTCGTTCGCTGAAAAGTACTGTTGAAGTAGTTCAAGCGAACAGGGCCGAAAGATGAAGAACACATGGAGAAAGGAGAAGGAATCGCGTATTGATTTTTTTTAGCAATGAATTGCGTATTGATTTTTTTTGAGTGGAATGAATCACGTATCCTATCCTATACTCTTATAAAGCTAAACCCCACTAGAGATTTCTCTCAACATGCAAGCTATCCACATCAATAATCCACTAGAACTTGCAATTATAGCCAACTAGCACATGTAATTATAATATTAATCTCTTCATCCACTAACATGCATTTAGCTGTCCACATCGATGTGTCAAACCATGCACCAAAATTAATTTAAGATAGTTTCATTCATATAACTATAAATATAAATAGTCTAATTTCTTTTTAAATTATTTGGAATCCCCGCAACAATTCTCCTAGTTTTTTTTTATCTCAGGTATTCTCCTAGTTGATACTGTTCCTAACGGTCGCGTTGATTAAGAGGCCCGCTTGGGCCGGTCTTATCCTTTGCTCTTTTTCCGTTAGCGGAAGTGGTAAGTGGCAACTGACAAATGGGCCTTAGCCTACGATGCGTCGGCTTCCTTTCCCTTAGCGCGCACGGGTTGCGGGTCCATCGGGCGGCGAGGCGCGCGCGGCCAAGGCCCCTCTCGGCCTCTCGTCTCCCGTCCTGTTCGGTGCGACGGGCCCCCGGAAACCCGGGACGCGCTGGGGCCTGGGAGTCTCGTCTCGAGACGTCTGGTCTGGAACTTATCCTCCGCTTGCTCGGAAGGTTGGGGCGCACTGCGCAGAGCGCGCGCACCGAGCCGGCGGGGAGAGATGTCGGGCGGCAGGAGGAGGGGTCTTGTGTGGAGCCTCCCCGTGGCGAGGTCGGATGTGCTCGGCAAGCTGGGCCCTGCCTTCGGCATCGGCGCCGGCTGCGGCGTGGGCGTGGGCTTCGGCCTCATCGGAGGTGCGTACTCTTCGATGTTTACTCGTCGTGCTTCTAGTGTCGCGGCCATAGACGCGTTCACGGAGCACCATACCAGACCGGCGAACTGGAGTGCTCTCGATGGTTTTGACGGTTGAGC